CCATCAGGTGAAATCCAGGTATATAACCAGCGTTTATGTCTCTTAAAAAATGTATTTGCTATGAATAAGTCATTGATTGTGCAATATTCGATCATTCTCTCTCCAGCTCCATTTCTGTTACTGAGTCCATGTTTTCCAACTACTGACTAGCTGAAGCTGGGCAGCTTAGAGGCCAGTCTCAGACCACGCAGACCCCGCCCATCTTCCCAGGTAATCAAAGACGCAGAATCCGCGTGACATTTGTTCGCCGGCCGAATTTTGTGTCTCTAGTTAGGTTTATTCCCAAGTATCTCAATTTGTGGTTGGCTATTGTAAATTGTATTACTTTCTTAGTTTCCTTCTGTTTTCTTTTTTATATGTAGAGGAAGCTCACTGTTGGGTTTTTTTTTTTGTTTGTTTGTTTTTTAATTGAGTTTGTATCCTTCCACTCTATTAAATGGTGTACAAAGTCTAACATTTTGTTGTTGTTGTTGAGTTTTGGGGGGTTTCTGTGTGCACTATCATACCATCTGCATGAGGCAACAATTCTGTCACTTCTTTGCCAATCAGGATGCCTCTTATTTTATTCTCTTGTCATACTGCCATAGCAAGTATTTCCAATACAATATTGAATACGACCAGGTGAAAGTGGGCATCATTTTCTAGTCTTTGGCCGTCTGGTTCTCAAAGAGAATTCCTTTAGTCTTTTTTCCATTGAGAATAATATTTGATCTTCTTGCTATTTTGAGGAAATTTCCTTCTAATCCAATTCTGCTGAATTTTTTAATCAGGAAGGGGATATTGGATTTTATAGAAGGCCTTTTCTGTGTCAATTCACAGGATCATGTGGTTTTGTTCTTTGTTTTCTTAACATTGATGTTTTATGTTGAACCATCTTTGCATATTGTTACTAATCCTGCTTGGTCATGATGAGTGGTTTTTTGGGGTTTTTTTTTGGGGGGGGGGAGTAGTTTAAAATGCTGCTAGATTCTATTGGCCAGAATTTCGTTAAGGATTTTTACATCTATATTCATGAGAGATACTGGCCTAAGGTTTTCTTTTTTTGGTAATGTCTTTGCCTGGTTTTGGCATTAGGATTATGCTTGCTTTACAGAATAACTCTGGGTGTATTCCTTCTTTTTCTATTTTTTTGAAATAATTTAAGCAGACTCGGTGATAGGCATTCTCTGAGTCTTTGGTAGATTCAGCTATGAAGCTATCTGGACCAGAATTTTTTAGGGAGGTACAGTTTGGTTTTTTTTATTTTATAGGAGAATATTTTTTATTGATATTTTAATGAAAGATTATAGAAGGACTTGGATTTCCATTCATTTATTTGTCACATATTTTCCTCCCTGCCCACCCCTTCCCCTAGTTTGCTTTTCTCTTCGGGGGGGGGGGGAATTCTTTCACTGTTATACAATCCTCCCCTTCCCCCCAACTCCACTTTACTATGCAGCTCTTTATCTGGACTCGTGTCATGCAAATAATACCTAATCATATAAGGGGGGGTAAAGTATTTTTACGACTTTCTTAACTTTTCCTTTTGTAATAGGTCTGTTCAAGTTGTCTGCATCTCTCCATGTCAATCTGGGTAGGATGTAAGTTTCAAGGAATTGGTCCATTTCCTCTAGGTTTTCAAAGTTATCACAATATTCCAACATTATTAATTTCATCTGGCTCTGTTGTGATGTCACCCTCTATCACATGATGTGTCTTCTTCATTCTGTGACCTCGCCTTTGTTAGTGAATATCATCGTTTACATTTTGGCAGAGTGTTCCCTTTTTATCTCTGTTACTTCATGGGCCTCGGCAGGGGCAGCTGGTGGGTTCAAACCACTAACCTTTTGGTCAGCAACCGACACATAAGCTACTACTGCTAATCTATCATACCACAAAGATAGCAAATATATATATTAAGAGTTGGAAGAAAAAGAGCATGAGATGGAACAATAAATGAGGTGAGTATAGGAAATGGTGACTAAAATTTTTATGTACTCTCTAAAGAGGGGCTGTAAACATAAAAACATTCTATAAATACAATGAACTGGAGACTAATAATTTTTCCTTTAAATACTGGTCATGAGTAACTCTCATAAGCTTATAAACCTTGTCTATAAAACCAAGGAGCTGGTCACATTAGATTGCCTCTTTGGTAATGGAATCTTTCTCCGCAATGTGAATCTGATTTTTATCCAGATACATATCATTTTTTTAATCTCTGGAAATGTTTGTTTCTTTTTATTATCATTTAAAATAATGACGACTAACTATATGGTCATAATCATTTGTCATATTTCTATGTTAAGGTCTGGAAATACATTTTCCATGTGTATAATTTTTTTACATTAACTTAAGATCTACTGAGAATAAGAGAACAGAAATGTTATAAACCTATAAATTATAAATAACCTCTACCTAGTAAAAATGAAATTTATAATGTCATACAGAATGCAAAAAATATTTCTTAATTTTATTATAACATTAACTAAAAGTTTATCCTGTCTGATAATATTGAATTCACATGAAAATTAAATAAGGAAGAAAGAAAAAGTCTATCCTTTGGATACCATATCTTCAAAGAAAGAAAAACAATTTCTAAATTTTTAATATTAATTACTATCAATTGGGGAGCTCAGATGGCATAGTCCATACAGGGTTTTCCTGTTAACCCAAAGACCTCTCTGGTGGTTAAAATGTGCCAGCAGTCTGGTGGGAGAGAGATAAGGAATCTCCTTTCATACAATTTACAGTCTAAGAAAATTCACTTGAGGGTCAGCTATGAGCTGGCTGTGACTTGAAGGCAATGAGAGAGAGATCTAAAAAAATCAAACTATTCTTATTCAAAAGCATAAACTTTTCTTTCTCATTCATGTTGCTGCTGTTGTTAAGTGCTGTAGAGTTGTAGGCGACTCACAGCGACCCTATGAACAAAAGTCCTCAACACTTGCGTGACTTTCATCCTTTCTCCAGGTTCACAGGGTTTCCGGAGGCAAGCTATTACAGAAGTGGATGCCACTCCTGTCTCCAAGCTTGTTTTAAACGGGGAGCTCCACCCAACACTGTCCACCACGGGTAACTACTCTCATATTTGACACAACCGTGCTCAGCTTCACAGCAACCACAAGTTTCCTCTAGCCTCAATAATTTTAAACATTGAAGTAGAAAAGGTTAGCTAAAAACAAACTGTGTTGCCTCTCCAAAGAAAGATGGCAGCTGACAGGCTGACAGATGAAGGGTGAGGGAGTGGTCAGGAAACTCTTGTCAGGAATTCACCATCTAATGCACAATATTAGATATTCAGAGACCATACTCTTACCAGGGAAATGTTAAAAATTTTATTGTGATAGTGAAAAGAGAGAAGGGAGCTTTAAGCAAACAGCTATCTCTGTGAAAAGATGTCACTATTCATGAAATATCTCATTCTTCATCAAGGCTAAATGAACAAAACTTAAATTTCCATCTTACCAAACCCAGGACTCCATTTTCACTTTGAAGATGAACTGTCATATTTGGGCTGATAAAGTTGCTGGCCAGGAGAGGAATTCCAATGCCCAAATTAGCTGGAGAAAAAGAAGTTAAGGTCCAGAACACAAAAAAAAGTCAAAAGATTACGCCATAAGCCTCCTACTCTCATAAATCTTCACAGATGCTCTTTTTCTTTTAATTATTCATTCATTCATGAACACTTTTCTCCTTCCCACTCCCCATAATTCCTCTTACAGGACTATTAATTGTAATAGGCATGGTTTCTAATCATCCATTCCTCTCAGAATATCCTTCCTCCCACTCATTCCATGCAGTATTCATTATCTAGCCACTCTTTTACAGCTTTCCCCTTCCCTTGTCTTGATCCTATTCACAGATGCCTCCTTTAAAGGGCATTTGCTCAGAATGAAATAACTGAATATATTTTTCAATGACTCTCTGGGCACTTTTTGGCAATTTTTCAAAATTATTACAGGCAGTCCCTGGGTTACAAACACTCAGTGCAGGATCTCCTACTTGCTATTTAATGGTATATAAATTTGCACTCACTAATGTGACTGAGGCAGCCCCAAGTGGAAACACATACTTCATTATCTTCACTGGCTGCACACATAGCTTTTACATCATTAAAAGTCTTTTCTCTTGTACCAACATTTAAAAAACAAACAAAATACCCGAAACCAATTGCACATGAAGTCAGAAGCCCTCCACTGGGCTTCCAAAGCTGTAAACTGTTTTACTCCCAAGGAGCAAGCTGCTGGTGGATTCCCAACATTAAGAGAGGAGCAGCCCCTGGGATGTCCCCACGGACGACACCACCAGAGCTCTCTCTCCTGCTAAAGTGATGTTAAATAAGAACTCTAAGCATCTAAGAGCTAGACAATTACTAAGATGACAGAAGAATTAATGCCTCTAAACTTTGGTGTCGGAGAAAAGTGCTGAAGATCACAAGAACTCCCAAAAGAACAGAGAGATGTGTCTTGGAGAAGATGTAGCCAGAGTGAGTGCTCCGTGGAGGCAGATGATGAAGCCTCATCTCACATACTTTGGGCACGTTGCTAGGACAGGTTATTCCTCAGACAGGAACAGCATGCTTGGAAAGGTGAAGGGTCAGTGAAAGAAAGGAAGACTCTCAACCAGGTGAGCTGACACGGTCAATGTGGCAATGGACTGACTTGACGTGTCAGAGATTATGAGGATGGCAATGGATAGATAGGACAGTGTTCAGACCTGCTCTCCATATGGTTCGCTATGACTCGTACTCAACTCAATGGCACCTAACAACAATAGTGTAAGCACCTGTTATAATTAATTTTCAAATACTACATAAAGCCACACTCAGAACATACTGCTTTCACAACCTGGGACCTACGTGTACTTGTAATTTGCCATAGCTTTTTCAATAACAGAAGAGTCCTGGTCTGTAACAAATTGAGCTGTTCATGCAAAGGTTGCACCCCAAGGAAGAACTATGGGAAGCTTCATCCTGTTGTGACTGACAGCCTCAGAAACTCAATGGGGGATGACTATGAGTCAGAATCAATGCAATGGAGCAGACCACCAAGTCTTTCCTCCTCTAGAGCGGCTAATGAGTTTAACTACTAAACCTTCAGCTAGTGGCCAGGCATCATTATTATCTAAAAGCCAAGCTATACATTCAGTAGGTAATTCCAATGACAGACCAATTGACTGGAGTTGAGAAGAGAGTCTAGTGACAATCTTTCACCTGTTAATTTGGTTGACTTCACATCTTGCTGATTGCAAGAGTTAAAAAGTCAGACAATTTTATATTCTTTTTTATGAGTTCTCAATATAACAAAAAGTATCTGTTTAAAAACAAGATAACAGAGGTAAAATGGGAGCCCTCTCCACCAAACTATACTTTAAAAGATGATATTCACTAATAAGGGAGTTATGGTGTTGGAGAAGAGCACTGAACATCCCACAGACAGCCAAGAAAACGAATGCATATGTCTTGGAGAGGATGCAGCAGGCGTGCTCTCTGGAGGTAAGAAAGGACATATTGCTAGGAAGTACTATTCCTCAGAGAGGGGCTATGTCAACATTGTATGTTGGGAAGGGTGCGACAAAGGAGAGGAGGACCCTCAACCAGATGGTTTCACAAGGTGACTGCTATAACGTGTCAGGAAGTGTGAGGATGGTGCAGGACAGGACTAGTTTCAGATCTTCTGTTCGTAGAGTCATTATGAGTTGTACCTGACTCAATGGCACCTAACAACAACAAGGGAAAAGGTCATAGAATAAAGAAGGCACCTTATGTTTCTATTTCCTTCAACTCAGGTCTTTAAGTGGACTTTTACTGAATTCACATTCAACAAATTTTATCGTATACTATTTTTATATTATAAACTTAAAATACTGCTACAGTGAGAATTCATAAAATAACATAGTTGCTGGCATGTGAAACACGTTAAAATCTATTTCAATTGTACTGAAGTATATTATTATGTTTGAATTCTGTTCACAGCACCATCTATCATGTCCAAGGTCAGGTATCCTGCTCATAATAAAAAATTCAAAATGATAGGTCGGAGGCAATGAGCTGGATGCTGCTGGACGCTCAGGTTCAGTGGTCAACCGGAAAATAAACAGTAAGAGCCAGCTGAGGAGTCAGAGGAAGCTTAAACATCACTGTTATACTGGTTCTCACACAGGGGGCAAGGAGGAGCCATGCCACGAGTCTTACTGTGCAAAACACACCCCAGCGAGCCACCCAGGAGCTCTCCCACCACGTTTTTAATGGTCCCCAGAAGAAAGGTGGCTCCAGTCACATTTTGCACACAGACCCCTATTCTTATCACACTATGTGCGTGCATAGTTAGAACTTAAAACAATGATTCAGCAAAGCACCACTGCACTTGTGCAAACGAGGCTGCAGTTTGGCTTAAACTGCTTCCTGGAGATAAGGCGCATTACAGGTTAGCACAAATCTGCCTGCCACGTATACACAACACTCTGCAGTCTCTGACATCTATGTATACCTCTTTTTTTAAAAGTAGTTAAGGCAAAATTGTAATCCTACAAAACATTAAACAGGAAGAGTACATTTCATAAAATTTTTTTGCTAAGGGAAGAAATTGGGTTGTTAAGTAGTTGGATCTTGTGGTCCAATAAGTATGTTAATATTAGAAGTTAGAGAAAGTAAACAGCACTAGTTACAACTAGTAATTTTGAGACTTGAAACTCTCATCTGGGAAAGTTTCTTTTCCCAATAGCCTTTACCTAAATATCAAATTGTTCTTATGTATACTGTGGAGTAAGAAACAACTAAGCAAATTATTGGCTGTCATTTTGTTTCAGGAAGGTAAAGAGATTGTGATGCCTATTTCATGTACCCTTGGATTTCATCATGTTTTATAAAAACTGATCAATTGTTTTACAAACAAGATTTCTAACTGGTTCATTCTAGAGTGACCCCATGGTGAGAATCTGTATTTCCATCCCCAGATATACTGAATTGAAGCCTGCGTTTTAAATATGATCTCCAGGTAATTCTTATTAGATCCCCAAGTTGATTCTTATGTGTACTTAAATGTGCACATGTAAATATCATGTTGTCGTCGTTGTTGTTGTATGCCATCAAGTCAGAACTGACCCTCCAGTGGGTTTTCAGAGGTAGTAATTGCAAGGGAGGACACTATCCATCCTTCTCCCACAGAGCAGTTAATAGACTTGAACCACATGTATTTGGGATTACAGTGTAGATTCTAACCACTAGACTACCAGTGCCCCCTTAAGAATCACATAGGCCTTGTTAAAATACAGGAGGTCTAGTAATTTGACCAATATCTTTCTCTCTGTGTTGTTGTTGCTATGTGCCGTCGAGGCACTTGGCAACTCATAGCAACTCTATGTACAACAGCCCTAAACCCTGGTCTGTCCTGTGCCTACTTACTGTCTCCGACACATTCACCCCAATGACCCCAGCCACTAATCAATTCACCTCATAGGGGGTCTTGCTCTCCTGCGCTGTCCCTCCACCCTCTCAAGCATGATGTCCCTCTCCAAGGACTGGTCCCTCCTTACAACATGTCCAAAGTATGTCAGACGAAGCTTCAGAATCCTTACCTCCAAGAAGCAGCCTGGCTTAACCCTCTCCAGGATGAACCTGTTCATTTTCTTATCAGTCCATGACTGCCCAACTTTCTCCTACTGAACCACTGCTGGTGGATTCGAACCATCAACCTTTGGGCTGGAAGTGAAACTTCCTACAGACTATGCCACAAGAGCTCCCTCTAATGGATATAGTAAAATCAAAAGCTGTTTCTCTGTTCACTTCCAGAAGGTAAAAGGATACCATACATGCCATCTTCAAATTCAAGAGCTGCCCTCTTGATGATACGTTCCCTCACGTTATCTCCAGCTTTACCAGATTTCGTTTTTCCATCTTCCTCTTTCCGGATTGATAGACGCTTTAAAATGAAGAGAAATAAATTCTTTATGGCTCAAGGTAAGTCAGGTGTTTTATCATTGCCGAAATACAGTTATGTTACTGGACAAAAATTTAACACTCTCCCATTACTACAGTGAGACAAATCTGTGGTGTCAAGGAGAAAACCTTGAGTGACATTTGGTGATAGAAATCACCCTTTGGGAAGCAAGAGAAATAGGTTAGATCTGTCTGAAGAAGACGGATCTGCTCTGCCTCTTGGAGGCAAACAATCCAATCACTGTCCCCCAGGCTGCTGTTCCTCGTAAGGACTCTGCAACTGAATTTGCCACAGGTGCTCAGGGAATGAGCCAGAACAAAGCAAAAGGAGGAGACCAAGGTAATCTGCTTCTCCAGGGATATGCTTGCTCACTGGCTGCTGTTTCTGTCAAATGCTTACTTCCACCAGCAGCATCCCGACTGCCTTTGCTGCATGTGCATAACAGGAAATAAAGAGCAGTACCCAGCAATAGGCATGAACACAGTCCCATTATAAAATCATTCTGACATGGACTCTGGTTCCTATTTGCAAATCTTCCATCCTATCTCCTTCGGCCCCAGTCATTTGTTTTGACTTGCTGTCCACAAACTGATGGGCATCTCTGAATCCCTGATAGCGATTCTATTGCTAATCCTTAGGCACTTAGAATCTTGATAGCATTTCTAGTTTTTTTGTTTTGGTTTTATCCTCTTAGTGTCCCTAGATTGCTTTCAGTGCTCCTGGTAGCGCTCCTTACCATAATCTCATACCAGCTGCCCAAACTTAATGGAAACTTATGCTCTTTCTGCTCTGTCTGACAGTTCAAAGCAACTTCAAGAGAAACAGACATTCATGAACAATGACATAAAGAGGTGGACCCATGAAAGACTTTATTATCTTTTTCTACCTTGTAAAATAGCCAATGCAAATAATGCACCATCATTTACAACAGAAGCCTGTAGGGGATAATCTATGGAACTAGATGACTTCCTGATATATACCTTAGTGACATGAGACACTCCTCATGCTGAACAATGAAATGATGGGGAATCAGGTTTGCTTATGAAGAGCATATGGAGAAGCGCCACTAAGATTCATTGCAAGACATCTTGATGGAGAAGGGGGAAAGACTTCTTGCTGAAGGCCAACTCAATAACTGCGTATCATCTGGAATGGTGCCAGTGATGCACAGTTTTGTAGTATTATGACTGTTAAGTGCTGTCAAGCCAAGTAAGAGTCATAGCAACAACCTACCTGAGCTTTGCCCTACCTGTGCCATCTCAGCATCCCTTCCATGCTGAAGCCCATTGCTGCAGTCACTGTGGCAATCTTTCTTTTTTCTTTTTTTCATAGGTATAAGCATTGTTTAATCCAGTGGGGAATCTTCCTCACACTGGTTTTTCATGTGGCAATCTTTCTTGTTAGTGTCTTCCTCTTTTCAGACCCTCTCTACTTTTGCAAGCATGATGACTTTTTCTAAGGACTATCTTTCCAAGGATTATTTTTGGTAATAAAGATTCATAAATTCTGGTAAACACACAAAAGTAATTACCTCAATTCTTTTCTCATATGCTTCTCCCTTTATAAGGCGATGTACATAAATCTGAGGAATATGGATATCTTCTGGGGCAAATGATCCAATATCCACAATTTCTTCAACCTAGACAAAGTAAAATTTAAAAATAAAATAATGAAAGGATCAACTGAGAATTTTTTTAATTGAGATCTTATTGTAAGTTTATAAAGAACTTGGATTTCCACTCATTCATTGGTGCACATTTTCCTCCCTGCTCCCCCTCACCCCAGTTTGCTTTTTTCTTTGGGAAAAAAGTTCTTTAATTGTTATACAGTGTCCTCGCCCCCCAGATTACTTTACTATGCAGCTCTTATTCTGGACTCTTGTCATAACAATAATACTTAATCATATATTTCTTATGTACATTTCTTTCCCTCACCTATTTCAATGTCATGTACATTATTTCATGTACATTACTTATCCCCTATTTTCTTGGTTTCTCCCCAACCCCTCTCTCTGTCAGTCCTGTTTTATAACAGTGGCATTATACAGTATTTGTCTTTTTGTGACTGAGATATTTCCCTTAGCTTAATGTCCTCCAGGGTCACCCATTTTATATAATATTTCATGAGTTCTTTGTTTTTCAATGCAGCATAGTATTCCATTATATGAATATACCATAGCTTTGTTATCCATTTGTTTGTTGATGGGCACTTGGATTGTTTCCAACTCTTTGCTATAGTGAACAAAGAAGCAATAAACATGGGTGTGCATATATCTGCCTGGATGGCAGTTCTGGTTTCTTTAGGGTCAACTGAAACTTTTTCATTTTTTTTCAAACAGTCACATACATGTGTCTTCTTCACCTCTAACTTATAATATATGTGTTTGTGTGTTTTTATATACACACATGTTGTTGTTGCTAAGTGCTGTCGAGTCAAACATGACTCATATAGACCCTATGAATAAAAGACCTGAACCCTGTTCTATAACTATCATTGTTTCTCCTAAGTTCATAGAGTTTCCAAAGGCATGTTGCTTAGGAAGTGGATGCCACTCCTGCTTCCAAGCCTGTCTTAATCCCCGAGCTCCACCAAACACTGTCCACCATGGGTAACTATTATGGCACTTGACACATCAGTGTCACAGTGTTCATCATTACAGCAACCCCAAGATACCTCAGTACAGTAAATTGACAGACCAGTGCTAAGTCACTTAGAAGAATGTTAGTTCCAAACACAATTAACACCAGGACAAACTGATTTTAAATACAAAGGCCCTCTACCAGGTCCTGTTGACTCTAAACAAGTAGCTTCTGCCCACAGCTCATTGTTAGCTAAATCCAGAAAATCCAATCAGCTTACACACAATTGTGAATAAAGTAAAAAACAACCAAACAGTTCACACCAGACCCTCAACCAACACAAAAATCCCACATTCCAGAATCACACATCAGCCTCCACACATTTGTGTGTGGAGAGAGAGTGTGTGTGTGTGTGTGTGTGTGTGTGTGTGTGTGTGCACCCTTGTGCACACCTCAATGGGAAACTCTAGTGGCTTAGTGGTAAGAAGTTGTGCTGTCAATTCAAAGGCACAGCGTCAGTTATGAATTGGTTCCAACTCGACAGTGCAAAAAAACAACAACATTTAAAAAAAAAAAAAAGCAAACACAAATCTCAACAATATCATAGGGGAAACAGAATGAAGTTGTCAAGGATTTTATCTTATTTAAATCCAAAATCTAAGAAAGCAGCTGTCAAGAAAGACATCATTGTTGGTGAGATTATAAAATGGTACAACCACTATGGGAGGCAGTTTGTCACTTCCTCAAAAAGCTGAACATAGAAATTCCATATGACTCAGCTATTCCACTACTTGGAATATCCCCTGAGAATATGAGAACTGAGGCTGAAATGGAAACTTTACACTAATGTTCATAGAAACTATTCATCATCACAAGAACATTGAAACAGCCTCCATATCCAACCACAATTGAATGGATTGAGAAATTATGGTACATTCACACAATGGAATACTATGCAGAACCCAGAAGCAATGACTTTGTAAATTATTATCTAACTTGGGAGGGAATGAAGAGCATTAAGCTGAGTGAACTCACTCAGTCTCACAAGGACAAATAGTGTATAAAACCATCTTGTAGAATGAGTATGAGGACAGGGAAGAGTGGAGAGTAGAAGCAGAGAGATGAGGATGTGGGTGGGGAGATTAATCATGAGGTTGTATAATTGTACAAATTGTACAACTTGATGGGGGTGAAAGAAATTGGAAGAATCCAGTGTAAAACAACAATGCATTCAAATTTTATAAATAAATTAGTATAATTTAAAAAAAAAAAAGATGTATTGAGCAAATGTGCTGTCAAGGACCTCTAAGAAAAAGCCTAAAGTTTGCCTGACCCAAGTGATGATATTTTCAATTGCTTCGTATGCCAGCAAAACTGGACAATAACAATAACCAAAGAAGATTAATGCCTTTGCATTGTGATGTTATTGTTGTTGTTGCTGTGTGCCCTCAAGTGGGAATCAACTCATGCAAAGCTGACTCTCCAGAAAGCTTCCAGAAGCAGTAAATCTAATGGGAGTAGAAGGCCCACCCTTCTCCAGCAGAGCAGCTGGTTGGACTTGAACCACATGTCTTTGGAACTGCAGTGCAGCTTCTTACCACTAGGCCACCAGAGCTCCTATTATGTTAGTCAAGAATATGTAAAACACCATGAGTCCAGATGAATGAACAAGTCTGTCTCAGAAGTATAGCTAGAACACTTCTTAGAAGCAGAAGGGTCTCCCTTTTTCTGGCATACTTTGTATATATTAACGGAAAGGAGTAATGCCTGGAGAAGGACATCATTATTGTTAAGACAGAGGGTCAATCAAAACAGAAGAAGACCACTCTCAGTAAGATGGACTGGCACAGTGGCTACAATATTTGCTTGAAAAACAGCAATGATTATGAAGAAGGACCAGGGCCGGGCAGTGTTCATTCTGTTGTAAATATGATTGACATGAGTCAGAATCAACTTCATGACACTTACCAACAAAAGTGTGTGTGTATGTATGTGTGAGTGTGAGAGTGTGTGTGTGTGTGTGTATTTATATATACAGTGTGTATATTTCTATATAGAAACTCAACTCATTGCTATTGAATTGGAACCAACTTACAGCTAATCTTCTAGCAGGTTTTCAGAGTCTATATATCATGAGGAAACTATCTTTTGTCCATGGTGCTGATAGTGAATTCGAACCACCAAGGTGGCACAGCCATTGGGTTGGTAGTGCAACTCCCTACAGAGCAAACCTCCAGAACTCCCTATATATGGATGCATAGCACTTCTACATCTGTGTGTGTGTGTGTGTGTGTGTGTGTGTTGTATGTATGTGTATAAAATATGCACAATATCCTCTATATTCAGAAATGGGAAGAAATTCAAATACATATATCTGAATCCCCCCCAAAAAATACAGAGCATAAAGTTTTAGGATTTAATTTTTATCTAAAGAAGTCTCAGTTACAAATTTATCAAGTGGTTTGTCAAGACAGCTGCTTGAACTTTCACAAATTACAGCCTAACCATGCAAAACTTGAAAGCACATTTTTTTTCATACCCACGGTTTTAAAATTAATGGAAAATTTATCATATCAAACACAAAAATCTGTAACAACATCTGCTTGGTCAATTGAAGAACGATTTTTAAATATAGATACAAATGCTATTTGTAACAGTTTTTAATTATTCTTGTTGTTAGCTCCCTCAGATCGTGATAGAACTGCAATAGCTGAAATAGTGTTACTTAAACACATTTCATTAATTTCAATATGGAAATCTCAAAATGGAAATTGCAAAATGTCATTCACAGAGCAAAAGAGTATTTTATAAAAATACAGAAAGGCCTAAATCAGGCTATTTTAAAATTCACTATTATTTTTTAAAGGACAAAAATATAAGAAAATGTAAAAAAACCCAGATGATAAAGATCAAGGAAAGTCAAAGTCAACATTTTTGTAGTCAAAGAATTAGCTCTGGTACCCTCCTCCCAAAATCCCTCTTGACTATCAGTTCTCAATGTAAAAGATACCCACAAACCCTCTGCCATTGAGTCAGTGACCTAACCCTATCATATCAGAGAAGAATCGTCACAGTGGGCTTCCATGCTTGTACATCTTTATGGAAGCAGACTTCCTCCTCCTCCTTCCGGAGTGGCAGGTGAGATCAAACCACAAACCTCAGGGTTAGGAGATGAATGTCTTACCCACATTGCCAATAGAGCTCCCCTCCCTTCAGCAGACAGGACATCAAAGCAAATAGACACTTGCTGAAAGGAACTGATTCTCACAATTCCAACTTGTTTCCTAAGCAAATAAGTAAATTCTCTAGTATTTTCTGAGATGCTCTGACTAATCCCTTTAATACCATTTTACTGTCCTGTTTCTTCACTGGGATCTACCTATAATGAAAGAATTCCAGGAATTACATGGGAACAGTTTCATTATTACAATGCTTCCAAGTATTTAGGGGAGGGGAGGGCACAGTTGATAAAAAACTATTTTCTTTGAAATACTGCAGATCTTAATAGAAAGTAAACAAGCCTGCTCAAGTCAGTCAACGTATGACTGTCCCAGTGAAGTTCAATGAGTGAACATTCATCATGAGATGTGTTAGGGGAGAGATGGGGTGCTTATCACTGCTCTCTGCAGCTTCCCCTGCAAACTGTTCCTGCCCTGGATGCCCCATGGGAGGTTTTGAACAGATGGAGAGGTGATCTAGGTATGAAGGTACTGATATCTCTCCCACTGACTGGAGCTTCCAGTCAATAGAGCTTACTGATATCTTTACCCTTATTCCATTCTGGACAATGAATAAGAATGACAGAAGAAGAATTAATACTTTTGAGTTGTGGAGTTGGAGAAGAGTATAGAATATCCCATGGGCTGCCAAAAGAACAAAGAGAGATGTCAGAGAAAGTGCAGCCAGAATGCTCCTCAGAGCAAGAATACTGAAGCTTTGTCTCACATACTGTGAGCATGTTGCTATAAGAGGCTATTCCTTGGAAAGGGGAATCATGTTTGGAAAGATAGAGGGATGTCAAAAAGAGGAAGAGCCTGAACAAGGTGAATGGCACAGTGAC